ACAAATTTCACACATTATATTTCCCGTTGGAAACTTCAACTAGTTTGTCATCAATCACCAAAAGGGGGGAGATTGTAAGTGCATCTAGTGCCACCCCTAGTTGGTTTTGGAGTATTGACGACAAACCTAGTTGAGGGACTAATGTGTTTGTGAGTATTGCAGGAAAACACAGGTAGAAGTCCCTCATTGATTCGGTTTTACTACCAAAGATGACCCCTAAAATTGTATGAAGACATTGAAGACATAGGTGGTACATGAAGATATTCACTTTGAAGACTATGACAAAACAAGACACGTTATAAAGCATATGGAGCTCGAAGACTTAGATCTTTCGTAGTTCTTTTTCTTTTTGTGTTGAGTCATAGGAACCACCGTACTGTTAAGTGGGGTCCAGGAGAACCAGTCAGAATGACTGAAGTGATGCCTAAATCAAAAACCTATGTCTTCGAGTGAAGACAATGAGAGCGAATCTTGTCCAGAGCCGGACAAGTCAGCTTTGCTTGTAGCCCAAGTAAAGTTGCCATGAGAGTTCGAAATCTGACCGTTGAGACACGTGTCAGTTCCTTAGTGACCCAGGGTCATTTCGGACAAATCAGGTCGGGTTGCCAAGTGGCTATAAATAGCCCACCCCCACAACCATAAACGGTTGGCTGCTCAGATTTCAGTGCACGGCTTTTGTCGTTTGAGAGCAACCCACCTCGAAGCCTTTGAGAGAAAATTTCTAGTGAGGAGAAAAGCCCTAACCACCCAGAGCCAGAGCAAATTGGGCATCACTTAAGTCTTCTTGTCTGTGTGATCTGAAGACTTATTACACTTGAGGACTGTGAATCCCCCAGACGGTTAGGCGTCGCGTTCAGAGCATCCAAGAGACATTGTGGATTGCCATTGAACGAAGTTTGTGAAGGTTTGGGAGTCTACCTTGAAGACTTACCAGAGTGATTGGGCGAGGACTAAGTGACCTTAGCTCAAGGAGAATACGGTGAGGACTTGGTGTCCTGAACTGTGTGTTCAGGACTGGGTGTCCGGGACTGTGTGTCCTAAGGTTAAAATACCTAGCCGCTCCAACCAGACGTACAGTTGTCACAGCAACTGGAACTGGTCCAACATATCATTGTCTTCAACGAGTCACTGGTTTCATCTTCACTTCCTTTTCTTATTGTTACTCATTGTGAAGCCATTGCATGCTTGCTTTATCTTTTGTCTTCACAACGTGAATGTATGATCTGTTTGGCTTCATAACTTCTTCCTACCTGATCCTTATTACACTGAAGCTGTTTGTCATTGTGCTTTCACTCTACTGAATACATGACCATGGCTGGCCTAGTGTAATCTAACTTCCGCTGCATAGTAATAGGCATAATCTTCGCTGGTTGTCTTCATAACTCTCACGTTTTGAAGACTTTCATAAAAATCGCCTATTCACCCCCCCCCCTCTAGTCGATATAACGCACTTTCAAGTTCTTTTTGCATAAGAGCAAAAAAAATATAATGTTTTATTTCTGCAAACAAACGAAACCAATAGCCTGACATTTTCCTTTTAGGACCAACAATTGTCAGCCCTTATGAAGCAAAAGGAACTTTAAATTTTAGTCCTACTTGACCTCAGCCTAACAGTACGGAGAATGACCTTGAGTAGGTAATAATTGATGTAGAGAAAATGCATGGTATTTATTTATTTATTTATTTTTGTGGGATAATTCATGGTATTTAAGGTAACCTTATCTTGAACCTGATGAATCATGTACTTATATCTGATCTATTTTACACGAAAGGCAATATATTTGGTCTTGTGTGCTTCTCCCCATGGTACTATTTATTAGGCTCAATTACAGTGCATAGGCTCCATTATAGTGTGTATACTAATTTTGTAAAACAGTAGACAAAAGGAAGTAGATGTAGCATGCATACATGATTCTGGAAACACGCAGGCGAATATCTCGAGTATCACTACTTCTTAATCAAATAATCAAATTGGCATATATTTAATATGCCCATTGTTACTCTGAAACTATTTCCTACAGTCTTGAAAAGATTTGACATTTTCGTTTGCCTGAGGTCAAAGATGAATCAGTGAACATGTACTAATTCCCCCCCCCCAAAAAAGCAAATCACTACTGCAATTTCTTACACAATGCGTTGAAAGGAGGCATACATTCACACCAATGCAACGTGAAGGCTAGCTGCAGCTTTGGCGAGAAGGTCAAAACCTGTTAGATGCAACCATGTGAAGCATGGACAGAACTGCCACCGCATAAACAGCCCAAAATATCAATCTAGCGTTTGTGTCTATGTGCGCCGTCTTGGTCGCTCATGCTGCTGGCTCGACCCAGCACGCTGCCACCATGTGAGTATCGACATGCTACAACTAAACTTGTACAAATGCCATTAATCGATTCGAACCATGATGTGAACTGTACATGTTTCAGGAATATTGAATTTAGAACTACATAGTGTTATGTATTGTCTTTGCTGTACAGTTCTATACTGAAGATTTGTAGTAAAACAACTCCATGGAAGAACTGAAGTTAGTCCATCCAAATTTATTTCAGTACGCTATGCACTCACATCAACGTTTAGGACAGGGTATTAGAGATAATTACATGAGTACATATCGTCCCGGGCTATGAATTGAAGGTCAGGGAGTTACTAATGAAGCAACTCTTTCTGAATTGTTTGAATCCTTCAAACCTACAGCCATAACAATGAATCAAAATCTGACATCCACATTGTTCAGAATTGCTATCTAAAAACTTGTTAACCAAGAATTCCTATTAACTAAACAGAAAAATAACTAATTCTAATAGAGAGGTTTGGCCAAATCCAGATTGTATGAGGCATAGGTGAATCAATCTTATACAAAGCATTATACCCAGTATCTCATACAAAATTGGAATTTCTGAGGAAGGACCAGAGTAGCTAAAAGGAATAATAGTAGATACAGGGAATAACTTATAGCAGCTTTATGCCAAATTCCTCTTATGCTTTGATCTAATGTTTCTTTCAGTTGGGTGGACGACTCTAAAGTGTGAGCACTTACGCGGGATTTTGCGTCTGCAATCTGACCATCAGTGCAGAGTGCATGACCCCAGGCAGCATTGTAGAAACAAACATGGGAGTCTGGTGCCGTGGAGATGCATAATTCGTATGACATGAGAGGTCTCAGGAGGAACATGTGCAGTTTCTATTCCTTGCAATGGTGAATGGGGTGAGTACCCCTTACTGATCGAAGCTCATCATCGAGAAGGTTTTCTTTTCCTTTTTCCGATTTTGAGGGCACCGGCGGAAGATCCGGGAGAAGAAACATGTGCGTCTGAGGGGCTGCCAAAGCACATCTTTTCATCCAACGGTTAGGTAGATCGATGGAAGAAGCCACTCATACTTTTGGCATAAAGTACAATGTGAAATACTTCTAAATCTAGATGTAGAAGTTCCAGCAGTTAGTTATATTTATACACGTGTCTTGCTAACTACAGCTTCTGTTTTCACGTCCATGGAGTGAAATTTCAACTATGGAGTACAACATATGCTAAAAAGAAAGATCTTAAAAAATTGCTACTAAGAACAAACACATGATATTGAACACGCTAAACTAATATCGAGAAGTCGAGATAGACCTTATAATACCAATTAGTTAGTACTACTAACAGTAATAATCCCAAATGCAAAATTGTATAGAGTACACAATTCAATGTCAAGAATTCTTCTATCATTTCCTTGTCGTACCATATATAAAGGATCACAGCAATGGAGCGACATGAACTGAACACCACGAAATATTAGAACGCGTTAATTATACCTAAATTAAATACTAAGGGGAAAGTACCATGCTTTTACCTATGGCCACAGCTTCCATGATGCCAGTACTTTGCACAATAGAAGCAATGGCATGTTATCATTGACAGTGAAAATAAGAGACTGAACATATATGCATCATTTAGTAGAATAAAAATTCCCAGCGCTGAAGAGGAAATAATAGAAACATAAACATATTATGTAAGCAAAAAACATGATGAACACCTATCGTCCTACTGTCAAAACTAAAAGCCACATTGATGATATTACAAATTAAATAGCTAACTGAGAACCAAAAATTAGAGCAGAAGTGTCAAGTTAGAAACACAGTAGAAATTTTATTTATAAATATAGGCACTACAAAAGTAGAAAGTCCACATCAGTCTTGATTTACCTCATGTTAGCTTTTAGGTCCCATCCTATGCAAACGTGAATGGATCACCATAACATGATGGAAGTGGTCGTACTGAACAGCCGTGTGCAACCAACGACAAAAAGAAAAGGTGCAAAGCACAGACCCTGCAGTACAGAATCGTCAATCATGTAATTGGTGTTCTGGGCCTTGGGATGTAGCAGAGGCTGGAAACACCTACGGGCAGCAAGGAAGAGGAGAAGGCGAGGGAGAGCTGTTTTGAGCCTCAGGTAAGCCGAGAGCGGATTGAGCTTCGGTGCCTTAAAGCACCTACCTTTGGGTCTATGACAGGTGGGTCTATGCCTTAAAGACACCTACCTTTGGGTCTATGACAGGTGGGCCAGCCATCTGTTAGACCCACCTGTCATAGACCCAAAGGTAGGTGCTTTAAGGCACCGAAGCAACGTCCGCCGAGAGCAGGCCCTCACGCAGAGAAGGCCAGCAGTCCACGACGTTCTGGCAGGGGCAGGGGCAGGGGCATCGCCCGTTAGAGCGTGGTAGAGAGAAGATGTGCTGCCCGCAACAGCAGCAAATCGAGCCTGGACCTGGATCCAAATTTGATGGGAGCCGAGACGTGATGTGGAGATTCAGGCAGGGGAGAGATTGATTTTTTTCTGTGATGTGGGTATTGAAATAGGGGAGAAAAAGTTGCCAAGTGCTGGGCTGCGCAGAGCGGGAGTGGGCTGGCCCGCCTTGTTTCTTCTTCTTATCCTCCTCTTGCTTCCGCCGTGGTGGGTCTTCTTCTTATCCTCTTTCTTTTCTTTCTTGTTCCGCCGTGAGAGCGCTGCATCCATCCATGGCGTCCATCTCCATGATGTGCTCCTACACCGTCTCCGTCTCCATGCCCGCCGCCGCCAGGGCTCCGCTCCGCCGCGCCAACGCCTCGCTCGGGTTCGCCACCTCGCAGCTCGCCGGCCTCAGCCTCGGCCTCACCTCCACGGCCACCGCGGTCTCCCTCCCCACCAAGAACACCATCGTCGCGCGTACGTCCCTCCCTCCCTTTGTTCCCCTGGCCTGGCAATTTTAATTCCTCACTTTGGTCCTCCATCGGCCGGATCTCGGTGGTGTACATTTTGGGTTGCATTGCTCTGCTCTTCTTCTTCATAGTTGAGTTCAGGCTTGAAACAAAAGTTGGGCAGGTAGGTAGATTAATTGGATGAACATTAGGTAGATTAATTGGGCAGCAAAGCATACATTCTTTCTTTCTTCCAAGGGCCATAACATAATTGGATTGGGTATGTACATAACTGGAGATGGGATGGAGGTCTGAGCCCGGAACTGGAGACTGTCTGTCCAAAATTGTTGCAGATATCCGAATTGCTCTTCTCTTCTCTTTGGATGCGCCTTGAAAATGAATGAATTGCAATGGTTGATGGTGATGGCTATAAACTCACACCTAGGTAGTGGTGTGGTGGTCAGATGCTAGTAGTTGTAGCCTCGCCCGAGTGGTTGTCAAGCTAAATGAATCGCTTCTGTTTCGACTAAATATATATATGAATCGCTTGTGCTTTTTTTGGTCCTGTTTTATTTAGCTACAGACATTTATTTACATACATGCACTATTATCTTCCCAAAAAGAGTATCTATCTATCTATCTACCAGTTGAATGATTAATTCAATGGTTAAGAAAGAAAGAAAGAAAGAAAGAAAGAAAGAAAGAAAGAGGCATTGATGAATGAAGGAATGATCTGAATCTGATGTGGGTTCAGGCCGGATCTGCCCCTTCTTGGAGAAGAAGACGAACCGGGCCAACAAGGTGTCCTTCTCCAACCACAAGACCAAGAAGCAGCAATTTGTGAACCTGCAGTACAAGAAGCTGTGGTGGGAGGCCGGCAAGCGCTACGTCAAGCTCCGCCTCTCCACCAAGGCCCTCAAGACCATCGAGAAGCACGGCCTCGACGCCGTCGCCAAGAAGGCAGGGATCGACCTCAACAAGAAATGAAATGATCGATGAGCCATAGTTAAGGCCTCCTAGCAACAACATCTTCTTGATTTCCTCACATCAACCATTTCAATGTAATGTAGTATGCAAAATGGATTTATGTCCAGTTTTCCTTTTCTCCCCTTTTGTGTCGGTTCCTTCCTTCCTAGTGCGATTTGTGCAAGTAACCTTATAAATGCCCATTTTCCTTGATGAGTTAGTTGATGTTAAGCATCATACCGGATCATCGTCATCATCATGTATATGTAGTTGTGCAGTTGGTTTGTGCCTTTCAGCTGCAAACCAACCTGATGTTTTATGATTGATCAGGGAAGGATGTTTTATGATTCTTGGTTCAGATGTGGAGTATCCGAGTCAGAGAAATGGTAGCTAAACATGAATTAAGAGGCTGGCAATTTAGTCAGTTAATGCTAAGCATCATACTTAGTACTGCTAGTGTGGATCAACATGTGATTGTGCAGCTCTCCGTTGCTCCCAAATTGATGTGGAAAAAAGGAATTCTTCCTACTATCGTTGTTGGTTCAGCTTCGGCACAAAGAGAACGAAGCTGCACAGAAGCAATGGGGATCTGCATGTCTCCAAATTTTGAGCGATTTTCTAGTTTATTACTCTGGATCTACCTTTAGTAGTAGTACATATAAATAAAATAGATTAAGATTGTTTCCGTTCAACAATCTGTTGATACTAGTCATTTGTGAGATGATGGTATCAAGTCCGCCATCCTCACAACGTCGGACATCGTTGACAGCACCGGCGGCTCAATCCTGAACGAGCAGCACGGGAAGGCTGGTGCGTACGACACCGGCGCCGGGCACGTGAACCCGAGGAGAGCCGCCGACCCTGGACTGGTGTACGACAACTTCTTTTTTTCTTGTGTTTATAATTCAGTTTGAGCATTACTTTTGCGTCAACATAAACTGTAGTAGTATCTTTTTTTCCTTTTGCGAATAACACAAGTTGTACGTCCGATTTTTACATGAAGCGACATAAACTAGCAATTTTTTACACAAGTTGTACATAAACTAGCAAGATTCTCTGTTTTGCGTGCTGCTGCTGCTTCACCTTCATGGCGCCACCACATCTCTGTCTGAAACATTTTGCTCGTAGCAGGGGAACAGAGGCAGATGGAATCTTGAGAAACTTTCGGGGTTGTTTGCATCCCTGTAAAAAAAGAAGAAACAGAGTAAATGATGAAGTAAAGATGCAGTCGTGTTCATCACGAGCAATCAATAATGAGGCTTCTCACGAATCAAAGGTTCGCCCGGGGATTCCCTCCTTCGCTAGCCATATATATTTTATTTCGTGATTGTGAGACCATTTATAAATTATTGCACAAACCGAAAACATATGCTGTCAAAATGAGTCGAAAGTTTGCCTATGATCTTATAGTATTATATTATATATCAAGGTCGCACATCGAATTTGTCGTGCGATTCGGAGTCCGTTTGGGTGGCTACCCAAACGTTTGGATATGAGGTGATATTAGCCTTATTAAATAATAAAAGATTTGTTAAATAAATCTCATCTCTTCACTCTTATCTCTAGGGCCAACAGTCACCTAAATCCTAACCCAAAATCCTAGCCTGAGGATCGGCCACAGCAAGAGCCGATAAGGTTCAATCGTGCAGATCAAGGACGAGAAAGATATCGCCATGCTCGTCATCCCGTTAGCTAGCCTTGAGGGCGATAACGAAGCAATGGCTGGTCCTTAAGCCTCCTTGCGTCGTAAGGCTCTCAGCTAAAAAATGGTGCGAATTCTAGGTGCGGGTCCAGAACTTGCACGAGCAGCTGGTCCTCGGGAAGGGCTGGCAATACTTCTGTCGCATTCACAGGATCGTCCCCCGGCGACCTCCTCGTATTGCGGCTCTCCAGGCTCGGCTTCAAGGTCCGGGTCTACAACACCAGCAGCTCGATCATGTGCAAGGCGAGGTGCCAGGAGCACTGCTACCGGGGCGGCATCCAGCATGCCCTCCAGTTGGTCGGTTTTTGTCTACCCGTCTGTTGTTGATGATCCTTTAAACTTTAGCTGGATTCAGGACCCCGGGGCCGTGCAAGGGCATCATATGTCCCTGCTGTCTTGAACTTATGCTTGTAGTAGCACGTGATGCCTCTTGTGAAGCATTGTTCGTATGTGACGTGCCTGGTGCATTTTGGTGGTAAGGCCACCATGTTCGAAAGGGGGTGAGCAAAACCCTGGAAGCACAAATAGCAAGCCCTAATCTTACCATTGTTGCAATGCAGACAACCAAACAATTTACAGATGATGAATTTTTTTTACCTGCATTTGCTCAACTAGCTTCAGGTTCAACTAGGAGGTGTGGCCACATTGATCGAGATGTTGTGGAAAGGAGTAACAAAAAACATCGATGGTTGAACCCACACAAGACCAAGAAGAAAGAGGTGGGTCCACCTCTCCACTTGTGGGGAGCACGAAAAGAGCTGCACGTATGAGTGAGGAGGTACTCATGTTGGAAATATGCCCTAGAGGCAATAATAAAATAGTTATTATTATATTTCTTTGTTCATGATAATTGTCTATTGTTCATGCTATAATTGTGTTATTCGGAAATCGTAATACATGTGTGAATACATAGACCACAACATGTCCCTAGTGAGCCTCTAGTTGACTAGCTCGTTGATCAAAAAAAGTCATGGTTTCCTGACTATGGACATTGGATGTCATTGATAACGGGATCACATCATTAGGAGAATGATGTGATGAACAAGACCCAATCCTAAGCATAGCTCAAAGATCGTATAGTTCATTTGCTGTAGCTTTTCCGAATGTCAAGTATCATTTCCTTAGACCATGAGATTGTGCAACTCCCGGATACCGTAGGAGTACTTTGGGTGTGCCAAACGTCACAACGTAACTGGGTGACTATAAAGGTACACTACAGGTATCTCCGAAAGTGTCTGTTGGCTTGGCACGAATCGAGACTGGGATTTGTCACTCCGTATGACGGAGAGGTATCTCTTGGGCTCACTCGGTAATGCATCATCATAATGAGCTCAATGTGACCAAGTGGTTGATCACGGGATCATGCATTACGGCACGAGTAAAGTGACTTGCCGGTAACGAGATTGAACAAGGTATTGGGATACCGACGATCGAGTCTCGGGCAAGTAACATACCGATTGACAAAGGGAATTGTATACGGATTGATTGAATCCTCGACATCGTGGTTCATCCGATGAGATCATCGAGGAGCATGTGGGAGCCAACATGGGTATCCAGATCCAGCTGTTGGTTATTGACCGGAGAGTCGTCTCGGTCATGTTTGCATGTCTCCCAAACCCGTAGGGTCTACACACTTAAGGTTCGGTGACGCTAGGGTTGTAGAGATATTAGTATGCAGTAACCCGAAAGTTGTTCGGAGTCCCGGATGAGATCCCGGACGTCACGAGGAGTTCCAAAATGGTCTGGAGGTAAAGATTTATATATGGGGAGTCCAGTTTCGGCCATCGGGAAGGTTTTGGGGGTCGCCGGTATTGTACCGGGACCACCGGAAGGGTCCCGGGGGTCCACCGGGTGGGGCCACCTATCCCGGAGGGGCCCATGGGCTGAAGTGGGAGGGGAACCAGCTCCTGGTGGGCTGGTGCGCCCCCCCTTGGGCCTCCCCTGCGCCTAGGGTTGGGAAACCCTAGGGGTGGGGGCGCCTAGGGTTGGGAAACCCTAGGGATGGGGGCGCCCCCCACTTGGCTTGGGGGGGAAGCCACCCCTTGGCCGCCGCCCCCTTGGATATTCATCTCCTAGGGTCGGCGCTCCCCCCAAGGCCCCTATATAAAGAAGGGGGGAGGGAGGGCAGCGGAACACCCTTGCTCTTGGCGCCTCCCTCTCCCTCCGTAACACCTCTCCTCCCTGCTTGCGCTTGGCGAAGCCCTGCCGGGATCCTGCTGCATCCACCACCAAACCGTTGTGCTGTTGGATCTTCATCAACCTCTCCTTCCCCCTTGCTGGATCAAGAAGGAGGAGACATCTTCCCAACCATGCGTGTGTTGAACGCGGAGGTGTTGTCCGTTCGGCACTTGGTCATCGGTGATTTAGATCACGACGAGTACGACTCCATCAACTCCATTCTCTTGAACGCTTCCGCGCGCGATCTACAAGGGTATGTAGATGCACTCCTCTCTCCCTTGTTGCTAGATGACTCCATAGATTGATCTTGGTGATGCGTAGAAAATTTTAAAATTCTGCTACGTTCCCCATCAGTGGCATCATGAGCTAGGTCTATGCGTAGTTTCTATGCACGAGTAGAACACAAAGCAGTTGTGGGCGTGGATATTGTCAATTTGCTTGCCGTTACTAGTCTTATCTTGATTCGGCGGCATCGTGGGATGAAGTGGCCCGGACCAACCTTACACGTACGCTTACGTGAGACTGGTTCCACCGATTGGCATGCACTAGTTGCATAAGGTGGCTGGCGGCTGTCTGTCTCTCCCACTTTAGTCGGATCAGATTCGATGAAAAGGGTCCTTATGAAGGGTAAATAGAAATTGGCATATCACGTTGTGGTTTTGGCGTAGGTAAGAAATGTTCTTGCTAGAAACCTATAGCAGCCACGTAAAAACTTGCAACAACAATTAGAGGACGTCTAACTTGTTTTTGCAGCATGTGCCATGTGATGTGATATGGCCAAAAGGATGTGATGAATGATATATGTGATGTATGAGATTGATCATGTTCTTGTAATAGGAATCACGACTTGCATGTCGATGAGTATGACAACCGGCAGGAGCCATAGGAGTTTTCTTTATTTATTTATGACCTGCGTGTCAACATAAACGTCATGTAATTACTTTACTTTATTGCTAAAGTGTTAGCCATAGTAGTAGAAGTAATAGATGACGAGACAACTTCAAGAAGACACGATGATGGAGATCATGATGATGGAGATCATGGTGTCTGAAGGAAATATGCCCTAGAGGCAATAATAAAGTTATTATTTATTTCCTTATAGTCATGATAAAAGTTTATTATTCATGCTAGAATTGTATTA